AGCTCTTGGCTCCAGACGTGGCATCGTCAGGTGCCCAGCAGACACCAATTAAATTGTCAAACCATTTAAACGGTTTGCAGACTTATTTTCTCTTCCTGTTTGTTTGTTTTTTTAGTTATTTAAAAAACAAGTTTATTTAACAAGAAGCAGGTTAAATTTGCTAATCACGTAAACAGACATATTTTGCTCTGCCACTTCTGTAAATATGGTGACCATAAAGAGTTAGTAAAACGCATGTGCTGTCACAAATGTTTTATTTGTCTTTTCTACTGAGCAGGAATGTCAAAGTTATGCCAACCAGCTATTAAACAGAGAATGTCGAAAACTTTTTAAGGCTGCACTCTTTTGCGGTATTTAAAAAAATGTATCTTTAACCACTCATCTGAAGCACTGACCAAATGGTTGTCATCAGTTATATCATGAGCATGCTAAAAAAAGAAATTCAATTCCTTCATTCAATCTCCTGTATAGTAGCAGATATTTCAGTTCTGACAATGTTGAGCAAACCTATCACAGAAAATTCCAGACTGTGTTCTAAGAGACTTTCAGAACAGTCCAGTGCATGGCCATTGATTCCATTCCTAGATTCAACACCAGCCACCGTCAAGAGGTCATTGTTTTGAAACCAGAACATATGATGAAAACCCCACTCAGAAATCAAAATGCTATTGGAGGGACACAGAACACCTTAAATAAAAAGGAAAATGTGACCGCTTGCTTGCTCTCCTCTTACTTTCAGTGTATTTTTACAATGGAAGAGGCACATCTTTGAGTTTGTGGTCCTATTGGTTACATTATTAAGGAGCCTGCAAATATATAAAGGGATACAGGAATGCAGGAATATTCCTGGCACTATCGCTCCACCTGCCTCCCTCCTCCCTCTCGCCCAGGGCCCGTGCTACTATCAGACGGCTGCCTTAGGGCACACCAGCCTGGGGGCGCAAATGTCCAGGTGACCGGCAGGAGAGAAGCACACAGCACTCCTCTCCTACCAATCACTTCTTGTAGCGTGGCCAGGCGGCAGCAGCTCCCCCACGGACCAGCCTTCCTGCATTCTGCCGCGGACTGTGTGGAGGGGGTGGGGATATGAACACGTTATATCCCAGCTCCCCGCGTAGCACACACTGCGGCTGGCACTTTGCAGGAACTGGAACTACCGCCCTCTAAGCATTTGCATGATTGGAGCTATGTGGGAGAGCAGAGAGGAGAGGCTGTAAGAGAAGAGCCAGCCCCTAACTCCCAACTACCTCAGCCAGATCTTCACACTGGATTCCAGGGAAGGTAGGAAACAGGAGGGTGACTTTAAAAGTATATATGATCAGCATGTGTCTGTGTGTATATCTGTATGTATGTTAGTGTGTGTATCTGTATGTCTGTATGTCTGTCTGTCTGTGTGTGTATCTGTATGTTTGTTAGTGTGTGTATCTGTATGTCTGTCAGTGTATCTCTATGTCTGCCAGTGTGTGACTGTGTGTGTGTGTGTGTGTATCTGTATGTCTGTCAGTGTGTGTCTCTGTGTGTGTGTATCTGTATGTCTGTCAGTGTGTGTGTGTGTGTGTGTGTGTGTCTGTATCTATATGACTATCAGTGTGTGTACCTGTATGTCTGTCAGTGTGTGACTGTGTGTCTGTATCTGTATGTCGGTCTGTGTGTGTATCTTTATGTCTGTCAGTGTGTGTGTTTGTGTGTGTATCTGTATGTCTGTCAGTGCGTGTGTCTGTGTTTGTATCTGTTTCTGTCAGTTTGTGTATCTGTATGTCTGTCAGTGTGTGTATCTGTATGTCTGTCGGTGTGTATGTGTTTGTATGTCACTGTATGTGTGTGTCTGCAGGTCACTGTATGTGTGTATCTGTATGTCAATGTGTTTGTCTGTATGACTGTTACTGTGTGTCTGTGTATGTCAGTGTGTGTGTGTATCTGTATGTTGGCAGTGTATCTGTATGTTGGCCAGTTTCTATATATATGTGTATGTGTATCGGCATGTGTTTCAGTATATCTGCATGTGTGTCATTGTGTGGATCTGTGTGTATATGTATTGCAGTGTTTGTGTAAAAGTGAATAAATCTCAGCAAGTGCCAACACTACATACAAAG